AGGTGAAGGTTCTGCGCATGTGCACTCCCATTTCTGTAAGTTCACAGGGCTGCTTCTAAGTACAGAGGCTTTATCAGCTGCTTCTGCGGGGTGACACCCTCCAACTGAGCCTTTATTGTAACCCGATCTCAGTGCTCAAATACAGCACAGAGTCATCCAGTGCCAGGCAATTGTCACATCTTTTATAAAGGAAGTGTTGATTCAACCCAGCCAGGAAGAGCCACCAAGAGTAAAAGGTCTCCAGAGATGGGATTGGGCCATTTAAGTTATTTACAGTAGCGCTTAGCCTGGAACCTGAGCCAGGGGCGCTGTGTGCTAGAAAAGAGAAGCCCTTTGATTTATTCATGTCCTTGCACATGAGTGCTCTCACCTCTTCCTCTTCTTTCTTCTTCCTCATCACCCTGTGCTCTCCATCCCTCTCTCATGTATATACAGACACATATCCACATACTTAGTCTATTTCCAGTGAGTCTGGTTTTGTCTTTTAATAGTACATGGAAATCTTTTCTCCAGTTGTTACCGAGACACTGTTAGGAAAGTAAGATCTCTCCTTTCTCATTTCTCTGTGGTGCTAGAATAAAGATCATCTCCTGGAACTAAAGTACTGGAACCTAACTTAACGGTGTCAATTTGTATTGATGCATTGTGGGTCAAAATGGCTGTTACGTAAGTTTGTGGGGTAGTCTTTCCAAATCTTCCTCAGATCAGGTCAACCATGAACACAAACTAAGGTTGACCTTGAACTCCTGGTCCCCAACCCTCTGTGGTAGTTTGAAAGAAAATGGCCCCCAAAAGGAATGGTGGCACTCTTAGGAGTTGTGGCCTTGTGGAGGAGGTGTGGCCTTATTGGAGTAGGTGTGGCCTTGTGAAGTAGTTGTGGCCTTGTTGGAAGAAGTGTGACACTGTGAAATAGGGCTTTGAGGTATCATGTATGCTCAAGGCATACCCAGAAAGCAAGACAGTTTACTTCCTGTTACCTGCCAATGAGGATGTAGGACTCTCAGCTCCAGCACCACGTCTGCCTGCATACCACCATGATGATAATGGACTAAACTTCTGAAACTGGAAGCGAGTCCAGGAGTTGCCATGGTCATGGTGTCTCTTCACACCCATAGAAACCCTAACTAAGACGCCCTCTCCTCACCCCCTCAATCCTGGGATTACAACTCAAAGTCTGAGCATTAAAGGTTTGCAATCCCTTTTGTGGGCGACAACTTCAACTCCAGATGGCGGAAGTTTAGATAATATGGAATTTGTGCAAACACCCCTTAGTGTCTGGCTGTCAAAGCATACTACACATTCACATCAATTAAGTTTTAAAATTCTTGTTGGGACCCATTCTGGTTTTCAGTTTATTTTTTGAGAGTGGTATCCGCCCCCCGCCCTTTGGTAGCATATTCATAAGGCAAGAGGATTAACATGGGACATTTGTAACAGTTTTATACTCCGGTGATTTATTCTCTGTACTAATGTTCTCTCCATCCAAGATACTTGAAATGCCTTCCTTGTTTTTATTCACTTGCAGACCGAACCCCCAAAGCCATTTTGTCTGGCTCCATCTTGTTCCCTTCTATCTTCAAGAGGTTAAATGACGTTACCTTGGTAGATACACACGTTCCTACAGCCCTCTCTATGTTTCTGTCTTCCCTCCTTTTCCATGTGAAATGTGTGGGGAGCCTGGGGTTCATCATATGAGCAGATAGGTTCATATGGTCTGAAAAAGACATCACAGGGTTTGCAAAATAGCTCTGGGTAAAAGCCCTTGTTACACAGGCCTGAGGTCTTGAATTCAATCCCTGGAATGCACATAAAGGTGAAGGAGAGAACTGAGGTAACAAAATGTCCTCTGACCTCCACAGGTAGGTACGTACACCCATGATACACACAGTAACAATAATAATAATAATGATAATAATAATAATAATAATAATTTAAAAAGTCATCAGCTATGTAAGTCACTTTTTCCACACTTGAAACTCTCAGAGTAAACCTGAGGATTCCTACAGTTTTCTCCCAGTGTATAATGGCTATGCGGAGCCTGCTCAGTCAACATGATTTGCGAAGGAAACTCTACTGTCTTCTGACATGTATGTATGTGCTCATGAGAGTCACTGTGTATGCATGAATGCTTTTTTGTGAGACACATAATACCATCCCTTTAGCTGAGATGAGTATTAGACAGTATTGGTTCTAGAAACTTCAGTTGTTTAAACGCCAAAAGCTTGTTCTTCGAGTGTTTTGTGCATCCTGGGTAACGATGCAGTTGCGGTTTTCTCTGCCTCAGAACTGCACGCAGGTAGCCTTTCGTGTTCCTCTTGTATTTCTCTGCAGTATCTTTTTCTGTCTGCTGTGGTCCCACTCTCTGCTTCTACCTCACAGCTGGAGCCTCCTTTGGGGATTTACCCAGGACAGCCTTGTGGGAAGGCTCATGGTGTAGAATAGTGTCCTGTCCTGCATGAAAAGCCTGGGAGCTTTATGGGAAACAGCTAAGGGAATGTGGCTAGTAGGAGAGGCGTTGCTCCTGCAGGCACCTTGCACAGGGGACTATTTTTCTTATATGATATAAATGAAATCTTCACTCTGCCCACTTTGCCGCCTACACATGTACTGAACGTCTCCAAGGAGACAAGGAAACCCAGAGTCCAGTGATGGTGAATCCTCCACCAAGACAGCAGGCTGGAGTCCCAGGCAACTCTCCCAGGCGTCTTACCTTCCAGCTGCCCCTCTCAGACAGCACGGAGGCAAAAGTGCCTCTCCTTTCCAGGCAAGAGAGCCTGGGCACTTCATATCCAGGGCTCTTGGGGTGAATTCAGTAGAAGGCGGCCAGTCTGGGAGAAGAGGGTGGCTGTAGTCAGGCGATGTCATAGGCAGGCTGCGTGACAGAGGACAAGCTCTTTCCTGTGTCTCCTGCCATTTAGTGCTTCGGTTTGTTTGTGTTCCTCTGTGCCTCTTAGCGTGGAGGCTCTCCTCAGTCCTAAGAAGTATCCTAAACGTTCTTGTGACAGTCTTACCTTAGGAGCTCTGTTGAGTCAGCTTGTCTAAGAAGGATGCTCACCTTCACACACTCACCTTTTGTAGACGTCTGTTCCATGCAGAAATCCCTCCACTGTTTCTCATTCCCCTGTTCTCATAAGTGTAGCACATGGGAGTCCTAGCCTTTTGACCGTCCTGCCCTCAGCATTGCCATTGAGTTCTCTTACCTATGCACTTCCCTATCCAACTCACCTGGCTGATCTTCGCCGAGGAAGCCAGGACCATGCCAGTCCTTTATGGTCACTTTCCAAGTCCACATTATCAGAGTTTGTTTGGGGGCATTGATCACATCTCTGTGTGTCTCTTCCTTGAGGCACAAATAATATAAGTTGCCACATTAAAATATATATTTGGGGAGACTAACAAGGTGTTACAGTGGTTAAGAGCCCTGTCTGCTGTTTCAGGGAACCCTAGGTTCAGTTCCAAGTACCTACCCTATACCTCAGTCTCCTGTAACTTTAGCTCCTAGGGATCTGACACCCTGTCTATGCTCCATGTGACCTTCATACATGGTGCACATACATGGCGCGCGTGCACACACACACACACACACACAATCATTTAATCTTTACAAATTGTTTAAATGATATACATTCATTTTCCTTTTGTGTAAATATATCATTTTAAGAGCATCCTTTCTGACTCTTCATATGTGTGTTTTTGGCTCTCGTCTGAGTGGACCCAAGCAAGCTGACTTTTCTTGTGATTTTTCTAGCGCAGTGCCTGTACACCTCAGTTTCCTATGGCTTATCCCGCTCTCAGTTTCACAAAGGCGTGGTGACCTGCTATGAGCTTTATGGCAGTGAATATCTTTATTCTGGCCATATCCATTTTCTAATACTTCTTTCTTCACTTGAACTTTATATATATATTTTATATTTATATATATATAAAAGGTTACCTGACTATGTTGAACCTTTAAAGGTCTCCTCTCTGTTTATTTTGTCTTATTGCTAATTCATACCACTTCAATAACTGATACCTTGAAAGAGTCATTTAGCCTAACTAGTTTGGTTCTTAGTAAAAATCATAGTAAAAAGTTTAAGATGACCCCAGGTCAAGCTTTTCTTTTGCCTCTGTCTGTTGGTCTATACAGGCAGCTCAGGCTGGACACAACCTCCGGGGATGACCTTGGACTTCTGAGATACTTTGGAGATACCGTAGCCAAAAGTTTTCATGTTGGGAAGAAGAGCACCTACACATAATCAGTATACTAGGGACACACACACACATAAACGCTCAGCTGAGGATGACCTTGAACTTCTGACCCTCCCCCCCCGCCCCCCCCCCCCCCAGTTTCTACCTCCTAAGTGCTAGGATTGCAGTTTGTGCTACCATGCCCAGTTCACGTGAGAAATTGAACCCAGGGCTTTATGTGTGCTTGGTAAGCCCTCTGCCAGCTGAGCCCTATCCCAGCCCATAATGTCTTCCAGTGAGATCATTCCTTCTATGTGTCCATCTGCTCTAAGCGTTCTGTGGAAATAGTTGTTCCGATGGTGTATCACTTTCCTGTGATCCTAGCCCTTTCTCTTTATTTGGATGCAGGTGAGGTTAAAATATGTAAAACTTGGGTTCCCAAATTTCCCCAAGAAAAATCCAGTAGAATATAGTATCTCCAATAAGAGCCCTTCCTTGTCCCCTGAGCCTTAACTTTTCCTTGTCCCCCTGCCCCGGCCCCAGCATTCCTACTTACAGGTGTCATGGCAGCTATTTAGTGGGGATGAAGTATCTACTTACATAAGAACTATGTCTAAGACGTCATGGGTGATTTCACCAAATCAAAGGAAATGTAGACACATTCTGGGACGTTTTCTATGTTGACCGGCTAGAAGATTCATTGCCATTTCCTTTGCCTGGAAATGAGAAAGTGAATGTCATCCCTGAAGGGTTTTTCCCGAGATCCTCTTTGTGAGGGAGTCCCCAGACCTGTGTGATAACAAAACCTTTCCCTTTACTTTTCCTTGCAGGCCCTGCAGGTGGCAAGGCAGCTCCTCCTTCAACAGCAGCAGCAACAGCAGCAGCAGCAGCAGCAGCAGCAACAGCAGCAGCAACAACAGCAGCAGCAGCAGCAGCAGCAGCAGCAGCAGCAGCAACAGCAAGTTAGTGGATTAAAGTCTCCCAAGAGGAATGACAAGCAACCAGCTCTTCAGGTAGCAATTCTTTTTCAAAAAATATTACTGTCATCCCTTTTTCCACGGCTGAGAAGCTGTACAGAGACAGATTATCAAGACCATTGCAAACTATTTGAGGAAATCATATGCACAATATGCCTTTTTAGTTTATGAGCTGAATGTGACATTATAAGAAAAATATCTATTTGACCTAAAGTTTTGGGGGTTCTGGGGAGATGGGTATTTTATGCCACAAGTTTTAATGTTGTGAGGAATTCAACTCTTAATTCAACATGCCAGGGGACTCATGCATATATAAAACAGCACTGATCACACCCATCCATCCCTCCGACTTCACTGTCCCCCTTTCCAGGGTCCTGTAACCATTTTCCTACCTTCAAGTCGACTCCTTCTTGTTTACACAAATGGGAAAGAACAAACAACATTTGCCTCTCTGGGTCTAGCTAGTTTCATTACTGATACATCCTCCATCTTCAGCCATTTTGCTACAAATGACAGGAAGCTGTTCTTGGTGGATGTAGTGATGCCGTTATTGTTAATCCACTTAGCCGGTGATAGGCACGTAGGGCAATTCCACGTCTTAGCTATCATGATTTGCGAATGTATTATAAGTGTGTCAATATATTATTTATTTTCTGATGCTTTCATAAAACACCATGACTAAGGCAACTTCAAAGCAACTGCAGGATGAGTAGGTTTAGTTGGGCTTACCATTCCAGAGGGATAAGAGGCTATCATGGAAGGCCTGGCAGCAAGTGTCAGACTTGGCAGCAGAAAGCTGAGAACTCACATCTTCAGCCCCGAGCAGGAAACAAAGAGAATGATGTGGAATGGCACAAGGCTTTTAATCTCCAAGTCAGACCCCAGGGACCTAATTCCTCCAGCGAGGCTGAACCTCATAAACAGCGCCACCAACTGGAGCAAATGCCTGCGACTGTGGGGCACATTTCACGTAACCACCACAACTGATTTCATTTCCTTTGGTTTACACCCAGGAGTGGTCCAGATAAATCATGTGATGGTTCTGGTTTTAGTTTTTTGAGGATCCTCATACTGTTTGAGGACCCTTCACCATCCTTTTCTCAGTGGCTAGATTAATTGACTTCCCCATTGACAATATGTAAAGTTCCTTATTCTGGAGACATATTTGCGAATCATCACTAGGGGTCAAGAGTGCAGAGATGTTCCTGACATCTCATCAGTTTTGGACCAAGGAAGCTGCTCACTGTTCCTCAGTGCCCAACGCATCCTCCACAAAGGAGTGCTCTTGAGCAGCTCCAAGTGTCCCCAGAGTCAAGAGCTTCTGTTTAGCCCCATGTAGATGTCATGCTTCTGATATTATACCTGGTAATGAGTATAATAGAACACATGCCCTCCTTCTGTAGATGTTTGCAGAATGTTTCTGAATCATTAATTGAAAGTGGGGACCAATTTTTCTGAAATGATAACAAAAGGAGATTGTCTCGACAACTTCTCCTTCCAGGCACATCGAGGCCAAGGGGTTAATAGAGTCGAAAGAGGAGTGAGTTCATAAAATCTAACTTGGATTTGGGTCTTGGAGTAGAAAATTGCAGTAGAAATTGCAAAGAAACTTGAGTCGTTGTATTCATGCCCATGTTCAAGGTAGAAGATAGGTGTTAGGTGGCCCCACATGGAGGCTACGGACGGGTTTCTCGCTGCAAATTTTGGGACAACTTGGGAAGAGCAGTGGCACACTGTGTTAGCAGTCGGTGTGCGGTCTACGTGTGTTGACTTCTCCCTGTGTTGGGATAAATTAGTGCCAACTTCCAAAGTACCCTGCCCGGATTGTCCTGTCCTTGGTACGCCAGTTCTGGTTCTCCTGCTGTGTCGGGGAAACTGTCCCTCTTCCAAAAAAGTTCAACCTTGTAGTGACAGGTTCTTGGGCAAGTTGAACATCGGCGTGAGCTGTTTACAAACTCTTCCAAAGACAGCTGTTTGGTAAACTACCAGCAACTCGCACCCTCTTACCACGGCATGGACACGGGCGCGGGAGACAGTTATAATGAGGTGCCGTGCCGTGGAGGGCGGATGTCAGGTGTTATAAGAAGGGCTTTGTTGTGCAGATGTCTTAAGAACAGCTCGGGAGGATGAAATATGACTGTGTTGACCTTTCAGCTGTGAGCTTATTTGTCAGGATTCAAAGAAGTTGAAAGGATCAAACTGAACAGTTTCTGTAGTCAGTCTGGGAATTGTATTTCAGGGGTCAGCAGCGGAGGCCACATTGCAGATTCCATAACATAGCCAATTGTTGGTACATATTAAAGTACCAGGGCATCTCCTGCAGACAGAGAGGCAATTAAAATTCTAATTTATTAATGTATACAGGGAGCTGGCCCAGCCTGTCACTCAGTGATTCAAATGCCTGTCCGTACTTTGGCCTCCTTCTTGGAGCCTCTCACAGCCTTGAAAATACTAGGAGTCCTGCTGGATTTATTAGGCCTCTAGTGCATTGGGAAAATGACAATATAGTATCGGGAAGGGCATATCCATAGTGCAGCTTTGGTTTGAAGTTTTTAAAACTATATGAAGATACTGTCCAGTCAGAGTGCTGTAGAGAGTTGGATGTCATTTATGAGTAAAAATGAACTGGATTTGCTTTCCTGTGTGTGTGTGTGTGTGTGTGTGTGTGTGTGTTAAACATATCAAAGATTGACACTGAATGTGTTATGTGTAATTCATTCTGGCTCCGTAGATCTTTTGTTTTGAGACACTTCACAGCCTTGGTTGGCTTAGAACTTGCTATGTAGGCCAGATTGGCCTCAAACTCCCAGAAATCCTCTTGCCTCAGCAGTAAAGGGTAACACCACCATCCCTGGCATTGCACCTTACTTTTTGAGACACAATCTCTCATTGAACTTGAATCCATCAATTCAGTTAGGTGGCTTGCCACTGTGCTCCGGAGGTCCTCCTGTCTCCTCCTCCCCAGACTGGGATTACGTTCACAAATCTCTGTGCCTCCTTGTCACATGGGTGCTGTGATCTGAACTCAGCCACTCATGCTGGAAGCCCTTCATCAACATGCTATCTCTCTAGCCCCAGTACTTGCAATTTTAAAACGTGGCATTTAGGGTAATGAGTAGAGGTTCGTCAGGGCTAACTAGATATGCAAAGTAAAGTTTCAGAGGGGTTCCTTTGGAGGATTCTGTATTTCTTCTTGACCATTAAGGATTTTGGCAGCCAAGTCAATGAGTCTGACATGTCGCATGTATGGATCATGACTAGGGCAATGGGATGGCCACTGTGATGTGCCCTGTACTTCAGTCCATGTAGAACGGATAGAAGGAGAATGGCCATCATGAAGACCGGTCTGCTAGGATCATACTGAGTTGGTTTTTTCTTTTTTTAAGTCCATCAGTGGTAGAACTGACATGTAGAAAATTTAGACCAATTTTTTGGGGTTGTTGTACATGTGTGCATGTGTGTGAATGTGTGTGCTGTCTTCGTGTCCTGACGTGTTGCTGAATATAGGGTCACTAGAATCCAGTAGGAAGCTTTATTCGTTTAGCTGGCCTTCTACTAACAGAAAGGAGTAATTGCTAACCTCAGTTACATGGTCTATCGCCTTGTTATAAAAGGATGTATGTAGATTTGGTGCTCCTCTGAAGAAATAACCTTGACAGAGAAGTCTATCCTGGCATGCCTTGTCCTCACTGGGCATCTCGCCTGGAGTAGCTCAGAAATAAAAAGGCAATCCTCCAGCTACCCTGCCCAGCATTCCCCTCTGATCTCCTTACCCTTTACAACTTGACAATCATAAACCCATGCTAGCAGATTTCAGATCTGCATAGAGGAAGGCTTGACGGGGAAGGAGGATTTGATCAGCTGAGAGCTTGAGATGGAAGGGAAGCAAAGGAAAAGAAGCTTTATGTCTCCAAAGATGCCATGGCTCGTACTTTAAGCCTTTATCACACTTGCCCATTTCGTGTTTGGAAGCCCACTTCAGTTTCACGGGCTGAAGAGACAAACAAAAGGAAAGGAAAAGTGAGAGGAGGCTACAAGTGGTTACTGGATAGAGACAGAGATCATGAGGCCAAGCCAGACTTCACCAAAGTGGGCTGATTTCACTATTAGAGAAAGGCATGCCGCAGATGCGTGCTGGTATCTACACTCAGCGCTCGAGTTCCCGGGACACAGCCTGCGGAATTGATGAAGAAGGCATGAGGCAGGTGTAGAGGCCACTTTTGGGGTCTTGTCCAGTATTCCGCGCATCATCTTACATTGTCTTTTTGCTTATGCTGTTAATTTGCCTTGCAAATTTCTCTTATGAATGATAGAAATGGAAATTGAGAATTGACTCCATCCTAAATTCACAATCAGAATGATCTGAATTCATTAAATGCATTTTGGCGAACATTCCCAGAAGAGCCTCTGTGTGCTGGGTGCTGGGCGGGTGCTCATAGGACCCTAAACTGTTGACACAGACCTTGTCTTCAGAATGCTTCTGCAGCTATAAATGAATTAATTTGATTTTGCTCAAAAAAATTAGAGGTGGGTAAAAATAGTAGACTTCCTTTTATAAATATTTATATACTTCTGAAGATTGCTTAAACAAGTGGAAGAAATGCCTAACGGTGCAGGTGTGTTCGTAAGCCCCAAAGCAGGAAACTCTACTGGCTAGCAATTAGTTTGCAATAGATGAGCTATTTTTATTGATCAAATTTTGGAACCTTGACTGCCGTTTCTGGGTAGTAATTCCTTTTGGTTCTTTAAGCGTTTTACTTGCTGGCTGGAATACAGCCACTGGAAGGAAGTCAAATGACACAGTTTCTCCTCAGAAAGTAAAAGTATACGCAGGTTCCGCAGCGTGTGAATGGAGACAGAAAGTGAGCCTTGTGTGTTACTTTCAGTGGGAAACTGACCACCGCTCCAGGCTGGCTGTAGATATGGTGAACTTGAAGCCTGGCATCTGACCAGTTTCCCTCCCCTCTGTCCCCTTTCCCTTTAAAGTTATGGGCTGTGCAAGCCCCTGACACAGGGGGCTTTTTTTTTTTTTTTAA